AAAATGGCAGAATGAGCATCTGTTCTGGATTGTGATAAGTGTCATCTGCTTCTTGGTCAATCAGAGCAATATAACGTTCAGGAATGATAACTCTGTGTTTGTTGGTTTTGTTATAGGTAGCAATCGAATTAAGCTGCTATGTGGTTATGACAAGTGAATTTATTACTATTGTAAAAAAATGGCACCCTGCAGTGGTTTTTTTGTTTTCCAATTTTGATGGCTATATATGATGGACATGACCAGTAAATTGCTTTGTTTATGAAAACATCAATGATACAGTTAAATGTGAAATTGAAGAACTTTGCATGGTCTCTGTTACCCGGTTTTGAGAAGGTCTTCAATAAAGGATAAATTTAGTCTTGTTTGATGAAAAGAAAAGGACACATTTTTGTTCCTGTTGGTATGGAAATGTAAATTGTCTATTAAAAGAACTTCCCACCAAACTTAACGAATATGTTATCAAGGGAAAAATGAATATTCTAACGATTTCCTCGACACAGTTCCTGGTTTTTGTCACACTTTTCATGAAAAACTCTTCAATCTATAGTTCTAAATGAAATACAATAACTTTACTGATATTGTACCATTGTTTACAAGTCTTTCAAAAGAAACTCCAATAACCAAAGAAGGTAGGGAATTCTTATGTGAAGAATGTGCTTATGGAGGGAAAGCAATTAAATGCTCTGATATAACGAACACTACAGAGGTGTGCCACTCTACTAGGATATACACTACAGAGGAGTGGCACTCTACTAGGATATACACTACAGAGGAGTGGCACTCTACTAGGATATACACTACAGAGGAGTGGCACTCTACTAGGATATACACTACAGAGGAGTGGCACTCTACTAGGAGACACACTACAGAGGAGTGGCACTCTACTAGGAGATACACTACAGAGGTGAGTAGCACTCTATTAGGCGATACACTACAGACGTGTGCCACTCTACTAGGAGATACACTACAGAGGTGAGTGGCACTCTACTAGAAGATACACTACAGAGGAGTGGCACTCCACTAGGAGACACACTACAGAGGAGTGGCACTCTACTAGGAGATACACTACAGAGGAGTGGCACTCTACTAGGATATACACTACAGAGGAGTGGCACTCTACTAGGAGATACACTACAGAGGTTTGGTACTCTACTAGGAGATACACTACAGAGGTGAGTAGCACTCTATTAGGAGATACACTACAGAGGAGTGACACTCTACTAGGAGATACACTACAGAGGTGAGTGGCACTCTACTAGGAGATACACTACAGAGGAGTGGCACTCCACTAGGAGACACACTACAGAGGAGTGGCACTCTACTAGGAGATACACTACAGAGGATTGGTACTCTACTAGGAGCTACACTACAGAGGAATGGCACTCTAATGGAAGGCACACTACAGAAGTGGTGTGTCATTCTGATAGAAAGAACACAATAGATGTGTGCCACTCTGATAGAACACAACAGTGGTGTGCCTCTTCGATAGAAAGAACACTACAGATGTGTGCCATTGTGATAAAAGAACACTATAGAGGTGTGCCATTCCGATAGAAAGAACATTACAGAGGTGTGCCGGTCTGATAGAAAGAACACAATAGAGGTGTGTCATTCTGATAGAAAGAACACAACAGAGAAGTGCCGGTCTGATAGAAAGAACACTACAGAAAGTGTGTCATTCTGATAGAAAGAAGAGTACAAATGGATTTCCATTCTGATAGAAATTACACAACAGAGGTGTTCCATTCTGATAAAAAAAATACACTACAGAGGTGTGTCATTCTGATAGAAAGCACAATATAATGAAGAATTATTGAAATACCGACAGACATATGTAATAAATATTTTTTTTCTAAATTTCTGTCCGTGGATCAGTCATGGACACCTAATGATTTACGTGTCATCAAAGTTCCCCGTTGAGATACGTTACCAAGGAATGTTCTCCATTACTATATATGGAGAGGTCATTCCATTGATATAACGTGTACACCAGATGTGGATTTTATATCCAAGTTCTCAAATTTTATGTATCATTTCGCATTTCTGTCAGTCAAATGATTTCTAATATCAATACATAATCAGTTTATTACATAAATTAAATCAATATTTCTGGTTTCGAATCTCCCAGGAGATCACAAATGCATCATCTTTATTCATTAATTAGACACATTTCCATGACAAATAAACATAATTAGTTGTATGAGTTGATGATAATATCTTCTGACACAATAATTACACGATGTTCTATACAAATGGAATTTGATCTACTTTGGATTTCATGAAACTCCAAACCAATGCATTTTATGACTTTCGTATTCGCATTAACAAAACAGCCATTAAGAAGTGAAGATTCAATAAAATAACATACAATAATAAATAACTTGGCTTGGAAAATGTCAACCTGAGTCTGAAATGGTCAATATGGCATAATGATTGGCAGGATTTCAATAACAGTCACATCATTACTCCCTAATCGATGATGTAAACAAAACACACGTGGGTACAGAACAACTCGACTTAACCTCAGAAAAGATTTTTCGTTATTGTCATAGAAACAGGTCACGCAAAACTCATGGATGTTATATATGGTATTTATTTCGCTATCTTTATTAGTTCACAATAGTTAGCTAAAACTCGTGCATTTTTTTTTTTTTTTTTCTATTTGTTGAAAAAAAAACAATTTCGAGTGAACGAAATCCCATATGCATCAACCACTTGCAGTGTAACCTCTATATACATTATGTCAAACAATTTGTAGAAGACATATCATCAGATTGACTTAGCTGTATAACTTAAATGAAAAAAGACAGTTTTAAAAACTCATTTTAAGGAACAGATATTAGAAATATGTTATAGAGCGATAACTGACCGACCCAATAGCTATTGAAGTGATACTTTTGTTTTCTTTTTTTGGAGATTGACTATTAAAACAATGTGAAACTGGAAAGACTATGCACTTCATATATAAACTACGCTATAGAACATTTACTACATGGCGTCTTCCAAAGTCAGTATGGTGCTACATTTCATTGGAAGTCAACACATTCTCAATGGGGTCGATGCAGATCTTCATTAGAGGAGTCTTTTCGCCAATGAGAGGCAAATTAAACTGTTGCTTACTATCTCAAGTCTTTTTTCCCTCAAAGAGATATATTGACAAAGATATACTAACGAAACGTGAAAGAAATACGTGTGAATGATTAGTCACAGAAGGTCACGTGAAAAAGGTATAAATCACATTATATTTTGAAATATGCAATAGCCAGTGTTTCATAAGTTATCGCACATCTAAGCCAGTGAATGTTATAACCAGTAATGGACTGTAACTGCTATTAATAAAACATTGTATAATTGTAACGTTTTTACTGACTGTTGTTGTCAGAACGCACGCTAGAAGCACTTTTAGATTGTATCAAAGATAAAATAGCAATATTAGTTGCAATTTATGACTTGTCATTGATGGTGAAGTGATAAATTTCAGAGGGAAATCAAATTTGGCTAAAATAGAGATATCAAAATAAACAGCACCTTTTCATAGTACTTGAATGGGTTTTTTTTCTTAGATCTTATAACTGCATAACATAGTATTCTGTACCCCGTGGTTTGTCTAGTATGTTGTTATTTACCTAGCAGAATTAATAGTATAAAACCCATATTGTGATGTAACATTCAATGAGATGTGATGAAGTACCGTATATTATCTATGTATGTGATGTTACATTCAATGAGATGTGATGAAGTACAGTATATTATCTATGTACGTGATGTTACATTCAATGAGATGTGATGAAGTACTGTATATTATCTATGTACGTGATGTTACATTCAATGAGATGTGATGAAGTATCTATGTACGTGATGTTACATTCAATGAGATGTGATGAAGTGCTGTATAACTTTCTATGTACGTGATGTTACATTCAATGAGATGTGATGAAGTATCTATGTACGTGACGTTACATTCAATGAGATGTGATGAAGTACTGTATATTATCTATGAACATGATGTTACATTTAATGAGATGTGATGAAGTACTGTATAACTTTCTATGTACGTGATGTTACATTCAATGAGATGTGATGAAGTATCTATGTACGTGACGTTACATTCAATGAGATGTGATGAAGTACTGTATATTATCTATGTACGTGATGTTACATTCAATGAGATGTGATGAAGTACTGTATAACATTCTATGTACGTGAAGTACATTCAATGAGATGTGATGAAGTACTGTATAACATTCTATGTACGTGATGTTACATTCAATGAGATGTGATGAAGTACTGTACATTATCTATGTACGTGATGTTACATTCAATGAGATGTGATGAAGTACTGTATAACATTCTATGTACGTGATGTTACATTCAATGAGATGTGATGAAGTACTGTATAACATTCTATGTACGTGATGTTACATTCAATGAGATGTGATGAAGTACTGTATATTATCTATGTACGTAATTCGACATATATTTCACACATATTTAATCACGCGCTAAATATTCCTAACACTTGATATATAACATATATAACAGGGTTACGTCAATATGTTCAAATCTCTGAACTAGGATCATACTCTGGAAAATTATACATACATTACACGGTCCTTAGATGTCACGAGCTGAAACAGGTTTAAATACATCGAAATTTATACAAGATATCCCGGGATTACTTGTAATCTTTCTCGAAGGACAAGAAGTCAAGTACTCTGATAATTCCTAATTAATGTAGATTATTCGATTTGCTGTGCTCTGTAGAATGATAAGAACATTCTGGTAGGAGTAACCAGTACAAAAACATTCAGAAATCAGTTTGAATCATCCGGAAAGATCGCTGTTGGTTTTTAAACAAGATTTGTTTAAATTTTATCATGTATATATCAATGAGTATTGCTTTCTGTCTGACTAGCACCAGGGTAATAGTTATGTCCATTAAATCATATTACGACCAATAAGAAAATATATATATTCCATTCGAATGGCTGTGGGTTATAGATTTCATTGAGAATGATCAATTACGCTGAACATCAGATAGGCAAATTAGATATGTTTGGTGGACAGTAAAACAGCACCAATGTTTCTGTGTTAGACATTTGTCACTACATCAATACACCACAGTCTGAATGCTGTCGTGTCTCGCCTCAAGATGTTATTGACATCACCCGCCTGGTTTTAGCAAGAAGTTGCACTAGAACGAGATCCCAGACTTCAACTATTGACAAAACACTGGCGCCAAGGAACAGTCCCATGGATCCACCGATATCACCTGTAAAAAAGATAAGAAACAGAGGTGAGAAGATTTGATTAAAGAGGACAATGTAAACGTGATATCTCCGAAAATGCTTCAACACAGAGCGTTATTATTGATAACCGTGAAATATCACTTCGCTGTGACACCGTACGATGTCATCGTGATGCTGGCAGTATTCGAGATATCAATACTGAACTAATTGGTATAAAGATGTCAATTATGATATTGTACATTTTGCCAAATACAAATATCATACTAGGATATGAAAGGTTGTACAAAATCTAATATAACATTAGAGTTAGATACAGCGGAGCAAATGAATTCAACTGCATCACACAGCTGTTTAGTCCTTCTAGGTCTCGTCAGTGATGCAATTTCGTACAGCTGTTTCATCATTCTAGGGCTCGTCAGTAATGCTGCATCACACAGCTGTTTCATCCTTCTAGGGCTCGTCAGTGATGCAATATCATACAGCTGTTTTGTCCTTCTAGGACTTGTCAGTAATGCTGCATCACACAGCTGTTTAGTCCTTCTAGGACTCGTCAGTGATGCAATTTCATACAGCTGTTTCATCCTTCTAGGGCTCATCAGTAATGCTGCATCATACAGCTGTTTAGTCCTTCTAGGATTCGTCAGTAATGCTGCATCACACAGCTGTTTAGTCCTTCTAGGTTTCGTCAGTGATGCAATTTCATACAGCTGTTTTGTCCTTCTAGGACTCGTCAGTGATGCAATTTCATACAGCTGTTTCATCCTTCTAGGGCTCGTCAGTAATGCTGCATCACACAGCTGTTTCATCCTTCTAGGGCTCGTCAGTGATGCAATATCATACATCTGTTTCATCCTTCTAGGGCTCATCAGTAATGCTGCATCATACAGCTGTTTCGTCCTTCTAGGACTCGTCAGTGATGTAAAGGGCTTAACATTTGAAGCCTAAAGTTTAAATTGAAAATATACTTACAAAGCAGAGCAAAGATATCATATGCCTCCTGTTGGTTAATTTCCTCGTAACTCATTTGTCTGTAGAATATGTCCAGTTGTAGGAAGTTATTCCTGTAGTAGAAATGATAGACAGTTAATTTAAGTACTCAGTATGTCCCCAGGAAGTTACTCCTGTAGTAGAAGTAATAGACAGTTAATTTAAGTACTTAGTATATCCCAGGAAGATATTCCTGTAGTAGAAGTAATAGAGAATTAATTTAATTACCCTGTTTATCCCAATTCAGACAAGGAAATAAGTACGGTAAATGTTCCAATGTTCTGTATAATTTAAACTCACAGTAGAGAACAGAAAAAAACAAGTTTACATATTATGAAAATAAAAATGAAGTAATTTGAAGAAAAAATATCATGCAGACTCGAAGTACCAGTCATGCCGATTACGTAGTAATGACGTACATGTAATTGAATGTTAATTGTTCATTCTAAACGCGATCACACTCGTGGATACACTAATATTTTTATTATCGTTTTCAGTTTATTTTAAACAAAAGGAAAAAATGTAATAAACTTGATTAAATCACTTTTTCGTTCTTATTGGATTAAACATTGGTTTCCTAAAACATGTATTTATACAAGTGTTTATTCACGCACAGTCAGGTAAGCTTTTACTGTTTCACGTAAAATCAGTCTGCCGTTATTATAAAAGGAAAGATAAATACAATAAACAAATAAATAAACAAATAAATAAACAAATAAACCAGGAAACAAATACATACGAATGTAGAACTACCACTCAATCCCAATCGCATGTGAATTTGTTTCGATTATAATTTCTGTAAATCATGTGTACTGTGTACAGACTGTTAAGATTTCCAGAGATAAGGTTGGTCTTGATTTTATTTTAGTATATAGCACTATGAACCACCTATAAGTCTTGTTAGAAAAGTTTACCGAGAAATATTGTCACGAAAACATTGCAATGCAAAATTTCTTTTTATACCGTCCGCATTTTTACTCTTTTTTAAGTATTGAGTATTATTTGTCATGTGGTAATATCAGACACAATTTGATACCAGAAACGTCGAATATAATTTATAAATCATCTAAATGATTGCTTTAGTATGTCACAAAGTCAATTGAATTATTACTTAATGAAATTAATTGGATGATACGTTGGGTATGGTATGCACATGTTACAAAGATGGCGTGCCAAATTTGGGTCATTATCCGACCACTCAGCGATAACCGATATTTTGCAAGAAGGTCAACCGCGTAAAAGTGTCATGTGTCGTTAGGGTTCATAATGAATTTAGGAAAATTTGGGGTAAAGATAAAAATTTTGTTGTTAAAATTGCAATAACAAACACCACAGAGTGACAAGTCACCTTCAAATGTGATCATCGGATACTGTGAACCATATTATCATCATTTAAGGCTATTCGGATACGCACGAAAACGTCAATTTTATACAACACTTATCATCCTCATTTAATTAAAGTTGACAATGCAATCGAAAAATAATTAATTTTAAGATTATAGAAAAAGTTTCCGTTTCTCAAATTCAGATCACCACTCCCACCCATCACCACCTATGATAACGACATCTTCCGGACAGCGTTTCACAGGAAGTGGTCCACATTTTAGTCAAAGCTTCCCGAGGGTATCGAAAGTTGTCAACATTGACCGCCCGAAGTGAAACTCGCCTGCATATTATTAAAAAATGGAAGTGAGAAAACGTTCTTATGCAATGTACCTATTCGTCGCGTTGCGTCATCATTTAAATAATGATAATCTATTAGACAGGTTGCAGGCCGAGTTTTATACACTGGGATGCCCGTATACGTTTCCAAGCTAGGTTTATATTAAAATGTCTGCCACTTCCTTAGATACAATGACAGGGAGAGACCGTTATCTCAGGGGTAGGTTTCGGGAGCATTCTAAATATATATATATATATATCTTTTCATTTCAACATGGAAATGTTTAATTTGCATTGTCAGCCTTAAAGGTATCACATTGATTTATATATAAATTTCTTCTGAAATAACATCAATATCACAGAATGACATCAATATCACAGAGTGGCATTAATATAGAACAGAGTGGCATCAATATCACAGAATGACATGAATATCACAGAGTGGCATTAATATAGTACATAGTCACACCGATATCACAGAGTGACATTAATATAACACAGAATGACATCAATATCACAGAGTGGTATCAATATCACAGAGTGGCATCAATATCACAGAGTGGCATTAATATAGTAGAGAGTGGCATCAATATCACAGAATGACATCAATATCAGAGAGTGACACCGATATCACAGAGTGGCATCACTACCACAGTCACACCGATATCACAGAGTGACATTAATATAACACAGAATGACATCAATATCACAGAGTGGCATCAATAGCACAGAGTGGCACCAATATCACAGATTAGAATGCCTCCTTCAAAAGTGCTGATCATGTATTGTGAATCAGTTAAAGATATCGAATTAATAACATTTTAAACTGCGATCTGTGATTCAGTTACTCACTTGATAAATTCGCTATCTATTTTAATGGACTCTTTGTAGGCTCTAGCGTCGAGAATGAAGGCATCAAGAGCGTCTAAGAGCAGGGCGTCTTTGTTGTCAACAATCTGTGACATCTGACACATGTTTCTTATTGTAGTAAAAGTCAAACGGATTTCTACGGCAACTTCAGAAAAGTTACGTAGAAATCGTGTTTCTTGTGTATAGTTATAGTATTCAGTAGAATCCACGTCCTGTACAACGGTCCTCCACAGCTCTATTACATCTTCCTCCAAACGGTCGATCCAATCGAGAAGATTTGCCTCCCGAACACGAATATTTTGGAAAAACATCCTAAATTCAGTTATACCATCTTGTATGACTTGTGAGGTTAACAACTCTACAATGACCATTTTTGTAACATTTTCTCCCCGAATATATTGCGATATATCCCGTCTGACTTTATTAAGTGGATTTAAAAACAGTGTTTCTGTCTTGTTCAGCTCCAATATCAACGACTTTAAGCTTTGAACGATGTTTTCCATCACCGATGTATATTGAACCCAGAGATTATTAAACTTTTCTCGTCGTTTTTGCAGAATACCTATGGGCCATTCAATCGTTTCAAAATAAAATACACTTCTTGCAAAAACAAAATTACGCATACAAAATTTGAATTCTTCTCTACAGTAAAACATTCGATCTTCATCTAACGTTGAGTTTGCAAATGCAATGTCCGAGAGTTCCTTTAACCAATCAAGTCTTTCAATAGTCATGTTTAAATATCCGCCATATTTTTCCCCGTATTTTACAGCATAGGAGTTATGAACGCGTGCTTTCATGATGAGATGTTTTGGTGTTGCTGGTTCATTATAACGGCGGCTAAGGCCTTCAAATGAATAGTTAAAAATAGGCGATCCAGTTTCGTAGGCGTAGATGAGAGAAGAATAATTATCGTAAGCAAGGTTTATAATTTCCTTGCGGTTTTCTAACATGAGTGTTGTCGTCTCATGCATCATAACCCTTGCGGAATGATCAGTAAAATTTTCGTTTGCCAACATTCGTATACGGCTTTCCACTGTAAGTATAAACTCCGCATATGCCAATGCGACAATATGAATGGCCCTTTCTTCCATCGCATCCCTAGCACGTACGAAATTCTTCTTCACAATATATTCTTGAAATCTATACAGGAATTCCTTGTTGCTGTATACGTCAAATGTCTCGCTATAGCTGTTATTTACCATTATACTTAGATTATCAAGCATGCTAGCCAGGTTGTCCAACAGAAGATTCTCAACGTCCAACAATGTTCTCTCGAAGTTCTCGGCCAGATTCTTTGTTCTCTGAAACGTTGAGTTTTCCATTCGTGAAGTGACTTCTGTAGCTTTAAGTAGTGCAGCTGATAAAACCTCTGCAAAATATAAAAAAAAAATTCATCTAATCATATTTATCTTATGTATTGTCATACACCCGTTTCTAAAGAACAATGAAGAACAACTCTCCACTGTAAATCACTTCGCGAATACTTTCGCTGACTAACATCTTCAGACATATTAGCGAATGTTGATCTAGAAATTACTTTATATTCGCAAATGATGGACTTATATATAATTATATATATATATATATAATTATATATATATATATTATATCTATCTAATATCGGTAACCGAATCAGCATGGATGTCATTGAGAGTTATTTTCATAAGATAATCGCGAAGGATTTGAGTTCGCAATAGAATCTCCTCGCATATTAACGCGAAAATAAATCCCACGCGAAGTATAAGTGCTTTACAGCAACTTACTTAATCCTTGCCTTAGGGAGGGAGGAGTGATTTTTGATGGCCACAATACTTTACTTAAACAAACAAGCGTACATTTAGGCGTATGACCTCGATGATCATACTAGAACATTTTGAATAACTTGTTTACTTGCCATGAATTAGTTCTATCTAGATTTGCTGTTCCAAAGTCTGCAAAGTTCACCACGTAGCAGATATTATGTTAAGTTTATCGGATTAAGGAGAGCTACATTTTGTAGAATATAAATGTAAATAGCCCAGGTGTCATTTTTAAAGACATATTGATGTGTCAATATGTTTATCTATTGATGTGTCTTTTTGTCACAATCAATCACTTTTTATCGTTGAAATTCTTTTTTTCCCCAATACCTTTGTCATTGTTGCGGAGAAATTTGTTGACGGAATACTGGGACGTAGAAGCGTAGGAAATATCCGGTTCATACAGAATGAAGTTACAAGGCACCGGGCAGTCACAGTAGGTATCGTGGATACTGGGGAACTCGTCTATTGAAAAAGCAATAAAATATCATAAAAAATAAGTAACGTCATTTTCCACACAGATAGTAGAATATGTCATGTAAAAGTTTGTATGTAACAACAGTGTTGTAAAAGTCCTGTATATTCGAGTTCATTCTTTTGATATTTGCTATATTGTTCTTGAGCAATTTCACGAACAAAAATGTTTGCAACATCCCATTTCAATGAAGTATGATCCACAGTAGTGAGTTTGTTACCTACAAACAACAGTGTCAGTCAACCGCATCGTTGGGTTCAGCTGCGAACAATATGTGAATTTGATGAATAAGTATTTTTAGCAATGTAAAACTGCAGTCGGATGCTGTTGAACTAACTGTAACAGAAATATCACTAAAATGTTGTAATTGTTGGTGGAAGTACCACTTTATTTTAGAAATCCTAAAGTACATGAACATAGCGTTGACTATTTTAATACTTTGATAACTTTTCAATATATTTTGGCATTATATTAGCTATAACCAACATGCTTATTTCGTCTCCGTGGCATGTTAATTCGGACATTCCATATAAGATATCGTGTTTGCAGTAACTGTATATATTTATCGTACTATCTACCAGCATAATGTATAAGAATTTGAGTTAACTCACCTATGAGGGGCTTCAGACAGCTGAAATACTCATACAATGTACACACCCGAGGGTCACCTGAAAAACAGAACCTGTAAAATATAGTAAGCCTTGTCTCTTGCTGAGAAATTTCTTCAAATTGTAGTGTTAACAGGTTCATGTTTTGAAAGTATTACAAACTATGTTTATCTAAAGACTTTTATCTTCATTGTGTTAACGATGTGTGTATATCTACAACATTGCAGTTGATTGTTGTTTCAGAATCCATACCGTTTTTATGTAGCATGTAGTTATGACGACAACCACATCTTGTCTTGGCCAGTGAAGTCAAACAATCCATCTGACAAGCGTCCATTGTAAAGCGGTCCATGTATTCCAGGACATGTTCGCTACATCTTCCGTGAGGCATTGGCAAGTTAGTTATCTATGATATACATAACAAATATTACATAAAACATATTAGATGTGTATCATGCATTATTGTTAATGTTCTAGAAGTATTAAAAATAGCCCTCGAGGTCTCTATAATGTGGTCTGTAGGAAACGTTAGCAGATAATACATAGGTATACCGGAAACAAAGGCCACATTTGTTTGGTCAAAAGAGTTGACATAATCTAAAGCATAAATGGTATAAAATTACCGAAGAAGTACACGTAGCTATACTTACACTAAACACCTTCACACCCACAAAGACATGGGCACCCGTCGACACGGCCTGACCTAGAGCGTGCACACGTGGTACCTCTCCATTCGCGTGCAACAGCATCTTCACGCCCGCAGCGTCGTGGGGTCCAGGCATATACTCATACTGTTCAACATTCAGTGTCAGACGTAAGCCATTCTCAACCCCTGTAGATTTATCAAACAATTATGACAGTACATTCTTATTACACTGCAGCGCTTAAGTTTTCATAAAGTTTATCACATTTACTTAAATGCTTTAATTGGTTAGTAGAGCGCCACCCATGCAATTCATCTCGCCCCTCTGATTAAGACAATGTAGATTAGTGCTTCTAAACGATTGCTGTTTTGTTATTCAAATAAACAACACAATGGTCTCACTGGTTACAAGAAACTACTAAAACTGTCCTTTTTTCTTTTCTTTTTCTTTCTGTTTTGTTTTTGTTTTTGCCTTTTTGTGATACGTTATAAAATTTCATGCACAAATAAAGAAGACTTGTGTAACGGCAATGCGAGTGTGGTAAGATCTACTGGCGAGAGCAGAATATTATAGCTGAGTACAGCCACACTAATTTCTCCTCTCTATCATATCAAATACAATAGAACTGAAGCCTTACTATGTATATTGATTAAAATTGACGATATTCTCGGCAGAAACCAATGCTATCAACCTACCATCAAGCTCGCAAACATCATGAATCACACAAACATATTTCATACAGAGCTTTACAAACCTGATTAAGGTTTCCAGACGAGGTCGTTCGTGCATTAAGTATGTTTTGTATGATAAACATGATTAGCCAAAATTACGTTTGCCTGTGATAAAATCGTCACAGTGAATTTCCAGATACCAAAAGATAGCAAGGGTTGATGGTTCAGTTTTATGTCGAGATCTTTTGTCAGACAAAATAACAAGCTTTCTGTACACATATGCCTATTTTGAACGTCTATTGTTTTGTTTTGCGAGTGTATCAATAAAGGCTGGCCACAAAATTGTTGGCTAAACATCCAAATTTGTGTATGATTTAATCAGCAAACAGTGTATAGCCAATATTAATCGTATCTATTCTCAAAAATCGATTAACTAGAAATTGGTTGCTTATACAAGCTTTATTGTCAACGTATCAAACGAGAAAAATAAACCCGCCAATTAACCGTGTTATTAAATTTTAAAAAGTATTTTTTTCCCTTTTCCTATATGGACTCTCCGATCAACATAGCCCTAGTGAGTCTGAATGTCGCAGTAAATTTTGATAAAATGTACAAACTGTTTCCATCCAAGACCAGCTTTTCTGTGCCTCATGTCGAACTTTCAGCACAAAAGCTAACGTAAGCAGGTTTACCAAATTGGAAGAAAGTTTTAGAACAACGACAACGGAGAATTACTCTTCTATGATTTGTGCGGTTCTCATTATTGCATCTTATTCTCATGATACATTTGTTTAAATAGGATGTAATCTAGTTTGGCATAAAATGTTAACAAAATCAGATCTCGTTTTACAATATACAAAGTGAAATGAGAGATTTTATTTCAATTATATTAATTAGATAAAATGTTATCAAAATCATATCTTGTTGAATAAAATACAAAGTGAAAAGAGAGATTCGATTTCAATTAGATTAAATATCATTAAAGGCAAAAAGAATATATACATTTTTGTGGATGAAATTGTCTTATTCACATTCGAAATTTTCAAGGACTTGTTTCGTTCTTTATTGTTTAATGTCTATACTTTTGTCGATTTCAAGGTTTTGTTTTTGTCAATAGTCATTGATTTTTATTTAAGCTGATAAAACATCTTCGATGTACAGCAGGTCACGACCAAAACGTGAAATAAAAACTCTTTCCACTGCCTAGTGCTGTTCTGTATGTTGTTTATACTCAGACTGTTATTTTCTGTATATCTCGAACCATTAAGTTATTTGTGTATTATTTTTTCTTAGTTCTTGATTACATGCTATTGATACCCTTTAAATATAGCTAATATGATAAATTCAATGAGCTACACACTGATTTGATATCACCAAACAGATCATGGACATCCCCTGTTACACATTACATTGGTATGATATTACATCGATTCGAGACTCTACAATGACGTCGTAAAAGGAAAGCGAAGTATCTGATCGGACGCCGAAACTGAACAGAAAAAAATTGTACCAGTACATACAATACACTTAACCTTTAACCAGTTTATTATCTACAATGGTAGACAGCAGCTCGTCTCTAATCAAGTTCCAAAAGGTTCAGAAGGAAAACCGGCCAGAGTAAAACCAGATCGTCTGATAGACCAACAACTTGACCACTACATACATACGTCAATGTATAATTATCATACCATCCTGATGTTTGTTATATGATTGCCCGGATATTAAAATCTCCATGAATCTCACGTCGGCAGAGATCAAGATGTAATGGACACTAAAACAGTCTTAAACCAAGGGAGAGAGAAGTCCTTGAACGACAAACAACTAACGAAACATATTTAAAAAAATACATGCCGAGTATTTATCTAAAATGCAAATATACAATTTTGTTTTCTGCATAGTGTCTATTGAATGATAATTGTTTTTTCCCCTTAAGATCGCCCCTCCAAGAGTACGGTCCGTTATGCAATAATATCAAGGATGATCATTGTTTCTTGATTGTTATTAAAAGAAAGGAAAAAACAGCATAGTTTGTGTAGATGTTTTATCAGGTTTTATCAGAAGATATAATTTTCTGCAAAAGGTTGTATTTTAAAAGTCATCTTATTCTAGTGGTTAAGATACAGTATACAAGTATTTGGATAAACAGAGTTACAGTAATTAAACAGCGCGATATCAAGGTTTTTTACGCATTAAAACAAATAGTAAGATCACACTTAATGTACTTCGATATGGAAAGGCAGACATACCATTAATGTTTTACTTGTAGAAAATATAGACATAAATCCTATGAAAATAAGGTAAAAGTTAACGTGACCTTGAAATATTTTGGCACGTATGTGACGTAATACTTTCACTAAATTTGAACATGAAATATGTTGTCTTTGAATACAGATATATATCCATATAGAGATCAGAGTTGGGCACTTAACGTAGGCCAGACCATGGCTGTTTATAACCCTGAACACGACTGTTCATAAAGGTTATAAACCTGAACATGACTACTCACAGGCAAGAACATGGCTGTTTATAACCCTGAGCACGACTGTTCATAAAGGATATAACCCTGAACACGGTTGTTCATAAAAGTTTATAACCTTAAACATGGTGATAATGTGATTGCTCAGAAACCAGGGCACGAATTGCTCACAAAACGAAACAATTCTCTTCACAAACCAGAGCATCAGTTGCTCAGAAATCAGAGCAAGACTCTTTACAAAATAGAGCATGTATTGTTCACCAACCAAAAATCGACTAGATTAGATAATGGCTCGTTAAGACAGAGAGTTTATCAATATCATTTTCAATAAATGTACAAATATGTATATATTTACAGCAATGCAAATATCTATACAATTTACCAACATGTATAATATGTTAAACTGGATCAGAAAAAACAAGTTTTGCTTGATGTAGGACGAGGCAAATGTAGAAAAATCAAGTAAAGATGGTTGTCAAGGTGATGTCAGTGAGGAATATTCTATTTCTTTGTGTGATATAAAGCTGGACGTATTTGATGATTTTAAATTCAATTGGTTCAATTGTTGTATACCTTGTTACCATTTGAGAACGTGATTTTACTTAATTGTATTGACTAAGGTTTACTTTGGGGTTGTTGAAGCACCAGACGCTCAAGGAACACATGGCCTTATTCTTCTTGTACTTTTTCAGGATTCACCGTATAAATATATCTTTTGTTAATGTTTTGCCCCCTTTTTGTAGATAATTCCTGTTGCAAAAGGTACAAATATCAGTACAGAGTCTCAACGTAGTTTACCCTGATAAACACAATGGCATAATCCATCATTATGCCACTCAGGTAATAATCAATTAGATCTTGTTTACTGTTCAAACCCAATGATTGACGAGCTCGCGTATGGAGCGAATGTCATTATGTAATATTAACTACCTGTGTTTAGGCATACATTTGAAATGGATTGCAATTAAATTGAACAGCTTGGTAAGTGTTTTTCATTAAATCATATGATACTCATTGATCTAACGTGCAACCTATTGGAACAAACGTATCTTCACATGCTTTGTTTAGAGAAAACGTTATCTTCATACGCATTTTATTGCAGAACAAATATCTTAATTCTAATTTAATTGTAGAATTATTTTTTTGTCTTAAGATTCTATTTGTTTAGAATATTTCTTTAATACGAATTTTATTGGTCAAAAACCGTATTTTCAATTAATGATATTTGAGAAAATCTTAACCTTAACGTACGTTTTCTTGATAGAAAACTCTTTACTTTCATGTTATTTATGAATGGTTTACATTCACATTTCTTTTGTTACCCTTTTAGACAAAACTTTGTCTAAGAAAATTATATTCTTTTCATGCATTTCACTGGAGGGAAAATATCAAATATTCATTTTATTGAAAGATAATTTAATCTTTATCTGACATCATCTTTTTACATGCATTTATCGTAGAATAAAACAGCAAAGAAAATAATAACAAGTCAAAAGAATCTGAATGCAGTCTCAAATTCAATAAAACAAGAGCAAAATATGAAGATTTTTACAGAGACTTCTGCATCAGTAAAAGGAAAATAAGCCCAAGTGTTCCGGGAGGGTAAGCGTCTTCTTTGTCAATTTTGTAAAGTTTTGTCAATCTAAATAAGTAATGTCACGTTTTGAAATGAGAACAAGGATAATCAAAACAAAACAAAACAACCAGACATTCTAACTGACTTCAAATTGGTCAAACTTCACATCGCAAAACGAAATAAAATATTTCCAATCTTCAGATACTCTGGAAATACATTTATCCAGAAATGTACGTTGTTGATAAATAACAGTAAAATACATTTATTTGAAATATGCAAACGGATTTCCTTATAAATGATTCTCCTATAAAAATGGAAATCTGATCCAAGAGGTTAGCTTTTATTTTCTTGTTATGAGTAGTCCTAATATCTGGACGTATGAAGTCAATAAACCATTCGTGTAATCAGGAATCAGTTTACGCTGGCAAACAATAATTGTATGACTAGACCGATAATAAAACAAACAAGGTACACTAATAAATATTAACACTATACTGAACCCAATCAGTAAAACTCGCATTTACAATTGCACAAGTTATATGACGTGAAATTCTCCCCAAAAAGTTTTGTTGCTTAAAAGCCATTCATCTAATTATTCAGCCAGGACCAATAAACAATTGACTTTCTCGTAAATGAAAGTATTGAAACGTGTATCGACATATGTCGTTTATGACATGAAACAGTAACTAATCGGCGATAGACAAACACTGCCGGAAAGTGATTCAACGACACAATAGAATGATGTGGTACGAAGTTAACGACGCTAAAACTGTTTACGGTTTAAAAACTAATTTATCAAATCTTGCATGAAATAGATAGCAAAAGAGTGTTCAACCTAGAAGACCAAATTAACTTACACTTGTCTGCAGATTAACTGAAGTATTCAATAAACACATTTTTTAAATACTCCACTCTAATTGACCACATCATCAACTCAATAGACGCGTCATGCACATTAGAAGTTTCTCGATACCTAATTGATTAAACTTTTTGGATATGGCAAAGTAAGTCTGGCGTTCTCTGTACCATTTGTGTATTGTGTTTGTATTAAGTCGGAAACAGTTAGAATGTTGGATTTGTTTTTACTTAAGCAATGATATAGACTAAAATAAATAATGATATTATATTAAAACATTAAAGTAATTACCGACGGACGAGATGTACTCCTGATTCATCCCTTCATTAAATGTATAACAGACACCGTGGTCTGTCATTGTAGTCTTAAAATCGTCCGTGCTACACGGCAAACCCTTCCATAGACACCTGTAAAATTAACATAAAGCAAGCAATGTTATGTTCTGCACGAAATATTATATTTCACATGCATATTTTTAGTTAAAAGAGAGAAATGTGGTTGAAACTATTTGTTTCCGTGTAGTCTTAATAAAAGGCAAACAATTACATATACGCCGAAAGAAACAATTTATAATAGATTAAGACAATTTGTTTTCTTCTAGATGAGGTTAATTTCTTGAATATCAGTCGGAGTTGATGTACGGTCAAGTAATAACTAGTAGCAGAAAGTCTGAATACCACATCTTCCGTTTGCTTTTTGAATTTCCTGACGTGTATAATAATATTTTGTATACAGTTCTATTGGATATGTGATCTATAAAAAGAAACTAAGTTATTTTTTTTAAATGTGAGCTAACATATACATTATGGTTCGTGTTCATAGATTAACTATGGAATGAAAATGAATTCAAGATTCTTTATATAACACGATTCTAGGAAACAGATATTTTACTCCGTCAAACCTGAAGTCATACTAGCTCTAAAGCAATGGTCTAAATTGTTACAGTCAAAATGCACTCTTTGAGTAGGTGACGATATTCTCTTATCTAAATATATCTTCACAAAATGTTATATTACACAAGTCAAATATACAAAAATACTGTATTGGTATATTCTCTGAATTATTAGGTAATTATACGATATATAAATATAAATACCTAAAAATGAAGTCTTCTTTCTGATGGGCAGATCGAAGGAATAAATCGTCCAACGTTATATTCTGGGCGCCAAATTTAGTAAGCGCTGTTTCGTTAAATGTCTCTGGATGTGTGAACATACTCTCCAACAGGCGATAGGTGTGAAGATCGTTGGCTAAGGTCGCCCTTTTTAAAAAAAAGAAATAATAATTCTTCAACTGTATGGGAGGGTAATAACATTTTTTGTTCTGTTTTTCTCGGGTTTTATAGCAGGTCAAAATAAATAAATGAAATAAATAAATGGTCACGTAAGATACAACACGTTAATTATACGAAATATAACGATATGTCAGTATCATCTATATATATAAAAAACATAAAAAATACCCAAAAAACAAAGAAACGAAAACAAACAAAAACAAAAAGCAAAGAAACGAATACAAAGAAAAACAACAAAGGTTTTTAAATGAGATAATTATTCAAATATTGATCTAAATTTATCTAATCTTTCTGTGTCTGGCAATCATCATTAATTTGGTATCGTAGATCGATATAAAAGAGACGTCAGGTACGGGGTTTAATACTAATAGGAGAATCCAGGAAATTGGCACAATTAATTCAAATAGCAATTAATGTTTATTTATCATTCTTTACAGAATTTCCCAGTAAAGTTGGGCGACAATACCATGCTAAGGTGCCATTATTGTAGTATGATGGGAGATGATCTGGTGGATTGTCATATCTCGTTTGCATTCGGACATAACCGACAAATTGCTTATATTTTAAAGATAAGAAAGGTGAATGGAAACATTTTACTGGTGTGATCATCACATCATATCATTATCATGTCATTTCAACGTTAATCATCTGTCTCAACCTAAAATATGATCGTCATATTTGGCTTACACCAGAAAGATTGCTCTTGCAATGCATTGGTGCTTCATGAAATTTTTATTGAGTGGATCCCGATGTAACAATGTTACCTTAACAATGCATTCACCCTGATTACATACTGTACTTTGTACAAACAGGATTTTTGAAACATATGTGTCAACGCTGCAATAAATATATCTGTTAGGACAGCATTGTTTTTTGAAATGCAGGCTAGCAAACAAATTTCATTCATGGTAGCCTTGGTAAGAAATGCAATCATCTCTGTTTATCACGCTGTCTATAATCCATCATATTTAAGAAGTTGATAAAAAGACTATAAACATCGTTTCATTGATGATTTTCGCTTTTGGATACTTCATTTACAATGGGTTGATATTTCACATCAAGACTTCATATAGAGATGCTACACAGATATACATCTAGGTTTTCGTTGTCGGCGGTTGTAGCTATTTCGGCCCTATGGTAATGGTAGTCTGTATAATAGGCCTACTAACTATGTTATGCTTCCATCACACAGACCTGTTTTAATCTGGACACAGTTGTCTGAATCACATTCTGTTCAGATCATTTACTGACAAAGGGCAGACATTTTCAAATTCTAATGAAAAGAAGTTTGAATTATGATAATGACTTTTTTTCAAAATTATCAGATATAAGGAAATCCTCGGCCGTCTCATAGACTTCAGAAAGGTGGCCCTTTGCATTACTGACGAGTCCTACTAGGATGTAACAACTGTATGATGCAATTTAATTCATTGTTTGGCTCAGTTGTATCTAACCCTAAATTTCTAATGAAAAGAGCTATTGACTTGGTTGTCTTTTGTACAATTTGTTGATGCCTGAAAACATTAATTTTCTCTTTCTGTCAAATATTACTCCGATTGTATTAATACATTTGATAAAACATACATATCTATCAAAGAGATACGTCACACCGATAACAATTTCGACATGTGATCTTCTCCACTATATTTTCAAGATACGTGCACGCGAATCTTTATTGACTGAACATCAAACTTTGGGCCGGACATATAGCTAAAAGATGTATCATTATCAACAGTGTACTTATTAAGGTTAACATCCTTTCATACGATGGTAAAGATCAAAGCTGTTTATGATCATTAAACGATGTAGACCATTTTCCCGTCTGATTCTTATTATAAAAATTTTACTGTGTTATTACACAGAAATTTGCCTCTTTGTTTTTAACATCAACAAAAACAAAAAAGTCTGACTTGAAACATATTGTTTCCGGTTATTTTTCGTACCTAAAATACGAATATGAGATACAAAGCAAGAAGTCACTGTTTTATTTCTTTTAAATGTGAAAATGTGATGATGGATTTATAAACCAACTCTCAGAAATACGTATGTCCTAGGTTGCAGCTCTGTCCTAATTTGTATTGTAAAATAATCATTCCTTTTTGTGTCTTTTGTAAATAAACCATTCATGGGTTATCTTTACAACATTTTTCTTTAAAATAAAACAGTCATGTTTGAAAGCAGCATTAGAAAAATGCGAGTCGATATATTCATACCTGTCTGTCAGGCATATGAAGTATCATTTTCTAAATTCCCCAGACCTGTATAACGGAATACGTTTAAAACGTCGCACCCAACGATATTCCAAATACAACAAATAAATACTAGTATGTCTACGTCATTATAATTCAAACTCCAATACAATAGAACTTGGGCAAAATCTGAACTAAAGAAAAAATGACACCGAACTTCTATAAATGTAAGGGGAATAAGAAACTGTGTTACGGAGGAGTTTGCGTCTTCTGCTTCATCTCCAGGTAACAAGAAAATACCAACATATCAACATAATACAATCCAAAGCTAAATACCATAAAACTTGTGCAAAGTAGGAATAAAAGAAAAATCTCCATCGTACTCCTAAAATAGACCAGGTGTTCCGAAAGCGTAATACAAATAACATCATTAGATTGTAATTATCGCTTTGGTCAACATATCTTAGAAATTGTGAAAATTCTCCGAGAGCCAGGCGGAAGAATAACGTCTTTACTGAGTTGTACGGTCGTGTTCCGCTTCATTCGAACTTGGGGCAGCTAAGTTAAAATTGAAAATTAAAATGGAGTGTGTTTGTTGACATTTCTCAGTAGCCTATGTATCCATGGCATCATGAACGAAGTCAAGAAGCAGTTTTGTATAAAAAACGCCAAGTGAACTGTTTGAAGATTTTTTTTATTCAGGCGGATTGCGTGTGGAGTAGGAGCAGGACTATGTTGAAAAATTAAGCAGTATAAATTCCGATATCAGGCTTTATGTTAGCCTCAAACTATTTTGATTCTGTCGCGTAAATCCTGAACGAAATAGAAAGAAAAAGATTAAACTCCTTCTGGATGAGATAAGGAAATCTCAACTGTAGGATTAAGCTTCGTGTTTGGCTATTAATGAGTCTTTCTATCACATTTCAAACCCAAGGGGCTGGTTTTATTGATCAACTGCCTCTACCTACAAGTTCAACCAAGCTACAAACTTATCATTCCTGATACCAATAAACACAGGGGAACTAAACTATGGGAATCATTTGTGTCAGATCCATATTCATTAACTTTATCAGCGGTTTGCTCTACTTTAACATTTTGATTTAAATACATAGTTGTATGATATGTTTAAAAGTTTTTGATATGGAGTACTACACATGCTAAGTCAAAATGGAGGAAAGTGACGGAGAAGCTTTGTAATCTTGATTTTCATAATTGAAAACATCAATTGGTTAAGCGACCCTTAGTTGATATCATCTCGGAATAACTGAGGTCACCGAGACACAGATTATTCTGGCAGGCCACCGTGACAAAGATCACACTGAGAGGCCACCGCGGCAGAGATTATGCTGCCAGGCCGCCGTGACACATTGTACTGGCTGACTACCGCGACACATGTTATATTACCAAGCCACCGTGACACATTGTACTGGCTGACTACCGCGACACATGTTATATTACCAAGCCACCGTGACACATTGTACTGGCTGACTACCGCGACACATGTTATATTACCAGGCCGCCGTGACACATTGTACTGGCTGACTACCGCGACACATGTTATATTACCAGGCCGCCGTGACACATTGTACTGGCTGACTACCGCGACACATGTTATATTACCAGGCCGCCGTAACACATTGTTCTGGCTGACTACCGCGACACATGTTATATTACCAGGCCGCCGTGACACATTGTACTGGCTGACTACCGCGACACATGTTATATTATTACCAGGCCGCTGTGACACATTGTACTGGCTGACTACCGCGACACATGTCATATACCAGGCCGCCGTGACACATTGTACCGACTGACAACCGTGACACAGATTATACTACCTCGCCGCCGTGACATATTGAACTGACTGACTACCGTTACACTGATTATTTTACCAGACGCAGTTACCCATTGTACCGACTGACAACCGTGACGCAGATGATACTACTAGGCGCAGTTACACATTGTACTGGCTAACTACCGTGACCCAGATAATGATGACATCGTGAAGCAACATGGACATCACAAAGCCGATCAATGTAACAATGATGTTTAACAAGTTTTATTTATCTACTTCCAACACCAGTTAAGAAGTTTCATTAAGAACGAAATATCTGAAGTCACTCGCGGATGACCCGTCTATTCTGAGACGACAGCTCAGTTTGTCCTCACGTAACCTGTCCATATGGGTCAATATCTAGTTGTTGCTGTTTGACGTTTAAAGACAGGAGCTTACACATGTGTCCCTTATCCGCAAGTAATAAAAATACTACCAGATAAAGTGCCACTTCCGGTAATTGCTTTGATATCTTTCTTGTTCATAAATCCCTTGCTATGGGTTCGATCGCGTGATATTGACAAAGTGACTGAGCACGTACAACTGGAAATACCTTACTAATGAATTACTCCCAGTGAGATAAGGAGACAAAAAACAAAATATCAAATTAACCGAGTCAGATATCAGAGATTAATTGGCTCTCTACTGTTCACAATCATCACATGATTCAAAACTCTCTTTTTTATTTCAAATACTTATTGCTTAATGTATCATTTCGTAAGTGAGAGGTAATGCGTTTTTGTTAGAAACGTTATGTACTATCAGGTAAATAATCCTCAGAGGCGAATATATCTGTCTATAGTGTAAATGAAAACCATTACACACACTAAAAGAAAGCTAAATATGTATTCGATAGTTTAAAAATTCTTTTTTATTTATCAGCAGATAATCAGTGGTACAATACAGATAGTAGGATGCCAATTAAGTATATAAACGAGACTGAC